CCGGGGGCATCCTCCTGGGAGGTGTGCTGGCAGCCAAGCCCCCGGGGCTGGGGGTCCCCCCCACCGGTCACCTCCTCCTCCTCTTCCTCCTGCTCTGCATCGCAGAAGGTGGCAGGGGGCTCAGGCAGCTCATCCAGGCTCAGCAGGGGCCCCTCGTCGGCCAACACGGCCGGGGGGCCCTCAGGGACAGGGGCGACGGGCAGGGGCCCGGCAGCAGAATCGCTCTGCCACAGGTCGATGAGGCTCTCAGGGTTGGGGGTCCCCTCAGGTTGAGGCTCAGTGGCCGCAGGCAGCGGGGAGGGCTCAGTAGGCTCCAGGGTCACCAGGTCCCCCAGGGTGTCACCCCCCGCTGTCCACTCCGGCCTGGGGCCAGGCTCATCCCCAGGGGGCTCAGTGGCCTTGTCCTCGGGTCCCGGGAAGGGCCAGTGCTGCTCGGTGGCTGCTGGCTCAGCCTCCTGGGTGCTGGGGCTGGGGGAGTCTGCAAGGGAGGGGACAGCAGTCAGCGGGGCAGACACACATCCTCCCCGTCATCAAGGGCTGGGAGGACACTCAGGGACAGGGCTGCAACTGGGGGGGATCCTTTGGGCTGGGATCAGAGGGGAGATGCTGCAAGGATGGGTGGGAGTGGCTGGGCAGGGAGGGGACCAATTGCAGGCATCAGGGGACTGAGAGGACATTGGGAGGGGGAGATAAGAGAGGTGGCAAGGTGATCTCTTTGGAGGGTGTGCAAGGGTGGACACCTGGGCCCTAATAGGGTAGGAGGAGTAGCTCGGAGGCACAAGGGGATAGGGAGGGGGCAAGGGACTGGGAAATGCAGAGGGGAACATTGGGATGCACCAGAGGCCACAGCAGGGACACATGGGTGCGATGCAGCAGAGCTGGCTGGGATGCACTGGGGTGATGCTGCAGAGGTAGCAAATATGTACAGAGTGGGGGGGGACATGCACTGGCTGGGGCAATGCACTGGAGATGGAGGGGGAGAATGCATGGGAGGGGTTGCAGCAGAGACAGCAGAGATGCACTGGTTTTGGAAATGCACTGGAGACGGCAGGGATGCACCAATGATAGCGGGGATGCACGGGGAGGAATTGGGGTGCAGCAGAGACGGCGGGGATGCACAGGAGCAGGGGATACGGCGGGGAAGCGCTGCAGGACACAGCAGAGACGGCGGGGGATGCAGACAGCACAGCATGGATGCACGGAGCCATGCAAAGGAGGTTGCAGGGCTGCAGTATCAGACTGCAGCATTGGGGCTGCAGAGGAGGCAAAGGGGCTGCAGCGGGGGGATATGCTGTGGGGAACCGCAGG